CACTTGAAGGTAACTTTATTACTACATTGCTGACATTATTGTTTGTTAAGTGGACCTTGTGGCAAATCTGAGAAATCATTAGCACATGGCATCCTCACACAGTGGGGTTGGTGTGACCTTGAATGTTATTCCATTACCTTGAGAGACATCCAGAAAGTCATTACTAACTGTGCATATATTGTGTGGCTCATGCCAGATTTACAAAGATCTGCACAACTGCTGTTTTAAAGATATTCCTGATAACAACATTCAGGGTGGTGGTAGTAATGGTGAGGTGTGCATCTCAACGCAAAATTAAGATTGTGTGTGAAGAATCTTAGGCATGGATAATTTCTAAGTGTTATGCAAATTGTCTAAGTCAAGGGATAGACACCGCATGTTCAGAATAATATAGTAGTTGGGGAGTTCCTGTACTAATGTATCTGTAGGTAACCCATCACTTTATCAGTCTCTTTTGTGAAGTACTGAAATGGCCACCATCGGTTAATTGAGTAATTTTATAAACTTTAAAATATGTACCGTGGAGGAACTGTTTGTCCTTTTGCTTGGCAAATTGTAGTCACCTGTTTTGCTTTAGATTCTGGCTTAGCCTAAAACATTTAGGATTTTAAGTTGCTGATAGCTAGACTTCTGATTTTCTTGGGGTTTAGGAATCAGTATTTAAGCTCACTCTTTTCAGTCACTGTGTGTGTTTTCTTTCCCAGATGACAAGGTCTTACGCATCATCAAAGAACTGATAAAAACAGAGAATGGTAACTGAAACCAGAAATCAGTAACAAACCGGAGCTTCAGTAATGGCGGGGGAAATATGCACTCCAGCATTAATTGACGTTTAAATGCTTAGTGTGGTTGCTACCAGCCATGATGGGGATAGATTGCATGATTTTGCATAGGATTTTGCATAGGATTAACCTTTCTCTATATGACTTTAAAGATGAACATTGGATATGTTTAGGATTTATAATACATTTGGTGCCATTTGTCTGACTATACCAATGATAGCTGCAATCAGTTTCTTTTCAATATAGAAATGGCTGTGAATGATTTCTCCTTCTCAGCTTAATGTGCTAATCATACCATCACTGGTGATGTAGTATGTAGTGATGACTAAAGACTGTATCTCAGTTGAGTAGAATTCCATTAGAGATGTGCAAACAGATGACAAATGTTTCTTATGTGGGTTTCCTAAGTGGTAAATGTTTTTTTAAAATATGAATTTACAGTATTGAACCAATACATCTTATAGATGTCTTAATTTTTCTGTTTTATTTACATTAGGAAAATGCTCTGTAAGATGATAATATGGACTGCTGTGAACAGGTGCTCAGCTAGACAAGTGTACTAACCAGCAGCCCATCCCAAACAGAGGATGTGCCTCTTCTCACAGTTGTCCCTCCCTGTTCACCCTGATCCTTGTCTCTCCCTGCAATTGCAATATGTTTTGCTGCCCCTTCTCTATGTTAAGGTTTTCGCAGTGTTGCAAGCCCCCTTCAAATGATGAGCATGTTTTTTTCCCCCTTTATTGATCAAAGTTTGAATGCTCTATCAGAGCAGTTCCTGGTGGAAACTTTCAGTGGCAGAAACCTTCTGGTCTTCACTGTTCTCTCTTACAACCTGCTCACAGTGATTGTATGTCTGTGCGATCCTTTGTTTCTTATTTCTTTGATACTGAAAAATCCCTAACCAGATAGCTTAATGAACCAGATGCTCTTACATTCCGCCTGTCCACGCTATTTGCAATTATGAAGCGCAATTTTAGATCACCAATTCTGCTTTCAAGAATGACGAATATATTGGTGGGGAAGGTTTGCAATTGAATAATTGCAGTCAAGTAGGAACTGTACGTACAGACAGAGGAACAGTGTAGATGACAACTTTTGTTTAATCTGAAAAATAAAGATTTTGTACAGCAGAAGTTAATAGTGTCCAGAAAGGGCACTGAGGAAAATGCATAAAAATGCAAAATACATGGAGCCTATCCAGTTAGGTTATCACAGCACAACTGGTATTGCTGTGCTGAGAGAAACATAAGCTGAAAATGGACCAGCTTGTGGATGTTACCCTATACTTAGTTCAGGAAGAGGCAAGTTGTAATAGGAATTTATTAAGAACTTTGAAGGAAAAGTTATTCATTTATGCGTTGTGATAAACTAGTGGTAGTCTTGGTTTCATAGATGAGACAGAAACTGGGTTCTGGATTTTTTTTTAGCACATTTAGGCAGGGAAGCATTTAAACAATTAAGTTTTGATCTTAAGACCTTATTTTTGCTTTCTGTATTCCCAGACATTGAAATAAAAACCTGCAAACTATATTCATTGAAGATATGAACTAAATCTGCACTCTGATAATTTCGTACGTTTTGTTTCACTTGAGATCTTTTATTTGTGTCCTTTGGAAACATGAACTAGAAAAAATATTTCAGTAATTCAGTAACTAACAAGCTCCTCTTCCTTTTGGATTTGAATTTTGCATATCAGTTGTTGGTCTTAAATTGCTAAATCCTAGGAAAGTGTGAATTGTCCTTGAGTTCTCCCTTATTCAACTGTGATGAACAGAGAGCTTTTTTTCCTATGTATGGATAGTAATGTTGAAATTCAGTTATTCTTTGTGTTCCTCTAGCATGCCCTGATGAACTAAAATAAGGGGATATTTTTTAATAAATAGGAAATTCCACGGTCTTCTGAGTGAGCAACAGTTTTCTGCAAAACAGATTAAGGAAATCACACTGTGGTGTACAGATAAGCACAGTTATCTTAAAACAAACAAACAAATACTATGGTGGCTTTCTACTTCTGCAGTATACATGAGCAACTTTTGGGCCTGTGCTCTTTTGGCTGGATGAACTTTCTCTTTTGCTTGACTTATTTAATAAAGACTTCTGTTAACACTGTTATGTTGTTTCTCTTAAAGCATTTGTCAGACACAAGAGTGGTCAGTAGGTATGGATCTTTGTCACCATAGTCTCAACAGGCGTCTTCGGAGGTTTTTTTTTTTAAAGGCAGCATGTCCTCCTGGTCTCTGTCTTCATGTTGGAGAGGAGTTTCTGCTCCTGCTATTGAAGTTGCAGAATTCCCCTGTGGCAGTTTGAGCCACATTAGAAATCCAAAATCCAATTTCCAGGCTTCCCCCACCCCTTCCCACAATTCATCCCAACACTGAAGAGAAAACTTTCAGGCCAGAGGCTTCTATAGGGGAAGGGGAAGCATAGATACATTTTATTTACACAAATAAATACTATACAAGCTAAAAGCAACTATATATATAGATATATATATATAACAATTCTATTAGTCCCTTCAAAGCTTCTCCTTTTAACTTTAGTCCAGGAAAAGCCTTCCAAGGCTGATAGGTAACGCAATCTCTCTCTCGTGGGAGTGTTCGGGAACCTGAAACACTCCCTCACCAACCTCCAGCTGGTTGCTGAAGTCCTTTCTCCTCACGAAGTCCAAGAAGATAGCTTTGAGTCCTTTCTCTTTGGTTCTGTGTCATTTCTGCTGTGTGATCTCTCTCAGTCACATACCTCGTTTCTGTAGGCTGCTGTAGTTCAGTCAGCTTATCGACGTACGCACCCTGGAATGTTGATTCCTCCTCTGAGTTTTTGGCTGTCCATTTAGATCATGGCAAAGACATCCCCCAGGCCTTTCTCCAGTCCATCTCCAATTTTGCCTGGGCTTCTTCTCCCTGGCACCAAGCTGCTTTCGTTATCAGCCCATCCACTTGGCTCTGCTTCAATGCTGAGCCTCTCCTCCACTCATAGTGAGAGAGAAAGAAAATCCCCCCTCTACAGCCTAACTGCAAAAAGGGGGGGGGGGAGGGAAGAAGATGGCTTGGCTGCAAGGCCTGCCTTCTCTCTCTCCTTTACCTCAAAGGTTGTGAGTCTCTCTCCTTACAACAAACACACTTACTCCAATGCTGCCCCCAACTCTGGCCTAGGCAGAGTTGGGGGGCCACAGGGCTCCCCTTTCCCCCCCTGGAGGAGGGAAAGAAGGAAGCCCAGCCACCCCCTGGCTTTCTCCACCCACACACAGCAGCAGACACAGAATTGCCAACAGCTTCTGGTGGTTGTGTATATGTGATTTTTCAGCAGCAGCGAACAAGACAAGCGGTGATTGGCCCTCCAGGGAACACTGCCCTGGCACCCGATCACCTCTGGGCCCCTGACTCTCAGGAGGGCCAATCTCAACCCATGACACCCCCCTACTCCCCTCTTTTGTTCCTGGGTTGTGTGGGTTGCTTGAAGCTCTTGTTTCCCAATGACATCTTTCCCAGTGCTTGACCTAGGAGAGGTTTTCTTTTTCTTTCTGCAAGTCTTTCCACATTTACAGCAGACTGCAAACAGGTGGTTGGAGTGCAGGAGTATTTTAATTTCCCTGCATTCAGCTATTTACAATAATGCTCCACTGCATAAATAGTCCATAGATGGAAGTGTAATCAAGATCCAGACGGCCCAGAGATCTCCGTTCCCAGGTATCTCCCGTGGTGTGTTTGTGCTGTTTCCCACTGATTTCAAATGAAAGTGTTACTTATGCAGAGCAGTCTAGCTGTTAAAACTGTAGAGAAACCTGATTTAGTAGTGTCAAAATAGAAGCCATGGCAGCTTCAGCTGCCGTGGTTTTATGGCACTGCTGCCCAGTTTGCTCTCTGTGCCCTGCCCGAGAGAGCGGCCGTGGTCGGGAGGTCGCAGACCAACGGCGACTCCACCGCAGCCGTCTGGCCCGATGGCAAACGGCAGAGAAGAGAGAGGTGTTTGGGTGACTCGGATTTTGTTTTGGAGGCGGCGGTCCTTGCGGTGCCCGGCAGAGGGCGGGGCGAGGTGCCCGGGGGGGCGGGCGGTGACCTCCCGCCGCTCAAATAGCCGCGTCCGCGCCCGGAGCGGGGCTGGCACGGCCGCCCGCCCCATGGTGACGGCGGCGAGCGGCCGGTGCGGTAGCCGCAGCGGCATCGGCACCCGGAGCGGCGGGGGCCGGGCGGCTCCCCCGGGCGCTGCCCGCGCCGCCGCCACGGCGGCGGCGCCCGGAGACGGCGGCGGGGGCCGTGGGGGGACAGCTCGCAGGAGCTGCAGGCTTTCCGTGACTATGGAGAGAGCTGGTACCGCTCCCACAAGAGGCTGAGAGCCGCTTCCAGCCGCAGGAGCCGCTGGCCCGGCAGCCGCAGTGGGGGCAGCGGGGCCGGAGGCGGGGAGTGGGCGGAGGAGCCCCGGGTTGTCCCACCTGACCCCGCTGCCGGTGCCGCAGGTGACGGCGGAAGCGCGCTGCAAGCTGGTCAGCTGGCTCATCCCCGTGCACCGGCACTTCGGGCTCTCCTTCGAGGCCCTCTGCCTGGCCGTCAACATCCTCGACCGCTTCCTCGCCACCACCCCCGTGGCCGCCGATTGCTTCCAGCTCCTAGGGGTAACGGCGCTGCTCATCGCCTCCAAGCAGGTAGGGCGGCCCCGGGGTCTGGCTGCCCCGCTGCCAGGGTCTCTGCAGCCCGCCGGGGTCTCTGCAGCTCGAGCGGCTCCGAGCTCAGCCCCAGCCGGGCTGGGCTCCGCGCCCGCTCCTCCGCGCTGCTCTCCGGCGGCGATCTCCCCACCCCTGTCCCCTCTCGCAGGTGGAGGTGCACCCTCCCAGCGTGAAGGAGCTCCTCGCCCTTTGCTGCGGCGCCTTTACCCGCCAGCAGCTCCGCAACTTGGAGTGCATCGTCTTGCACCGCCTGGGCTTCGACCTGGCGGCGCCTACCGTCAGCTTCTTCCTGGAGCACTTCAGCCAGGTGGCGGCTAGAGGCGCGGGGGGCCGACGCGCGGAGGCGGCGGACGCCCGGAGCCTGGCGGGGAAGCGTCGCGGAGCTCAGCCTGGCCGACTACGCCTTCACCAAATACGCGCCGTCCCTGCTGGCCGCCGGCAGCCTGGCCTGGCGGACCGCTGCTGCGACACCGCAGCCCTCTGGACCTGCGAGTCAGCGGCTACTCGGAGGAGACCCTGCGGGACTGCATGGACCAGTTACAGCTCCTAGTGTCTCTGAACGGGCGGTCCCTGCCGCTCCTCCTGCCCCCGGAGGTGGCCCAGAAGTGCCACTGGCTGGGGCGTGACGGCTGAGGGCGAGTGGCGGCCGCGCCAGCCCTCGTAACTGGGCGCTGGGCGCTGGCTCCGCTCTGGCTTTGCCGTCTGTGCTCCGTACAGTCGGTGCAGAGTCTGATCCTCTAAGCCTTAGTGTCACTTGAGTTTGAAAATTAGCTGACGTTTTGCAAATGATGTTATATATCGTGTCAGCTGTACTGTCCCTGTGCTGTTTGTTTCGGTTGGTTTTAAATTCAGCATGTAAATAATATACTGAATCTCACGTACTGTGTTATTTATTTGGAGGATGATCCATGAAGATAATGGTGAAAGGACACACTGAATGTTGAATAAACTCTTTTCTACTTGTTACCTCTACTCGTTTATTTGCTGGCAGTGTGCAAACAGCTGGGAGAGGAAACGCATTGGCACAGAACGAGTTCTCCCCGGCAGTTAACTCCAGCCCCCACCCCACAAAATAATGATGCCCGAAAGTGACATTCCCCGTTTCAAACTGGCACGCGCTAGCTTGGTCGTGGCCCAAGGAAAAAAAAAATGTAGGAAAACGAAGTGTGGAATAAAAAAACAGCTGGTTTTTAGTTTTCTAGCAGGGCTGTAACCCAGGTGCGTGCTCCTATCCAAGTTGGCACTGTAGCACAGGAAACATTCAAGGGCAGAACACAGCCATAATATTGTAAGATACTTAATTTTCTTCATTCGTATCTGTGCATAGAAGCGATGTTAAAAGAGCACACACAAACCTAAAGCTACCCTCGGGAGTGCTCACCTTTCAGGGCACGGGGGACCCACACACTGGGTTGTGCTCCAAGCGCCGCCTGCCGTCAGGTGTTGAGGCAGAAGGAGCAAAACCTGTCTGCTTGCTACAGAAACTCTGCTGCTACAGAAAATGCCGACAAGCCCACCACAACGGAATAACGGGCAGGTCATCCTCCGCTAGCCCCGTAGATGATTTCAGCCAGGGGGACCCTCTGCCGGTGCGGGGGTACTCTCTCCTGCTGGGCTGCTCGGTACGTTGAAGATGCCGCGGGCTGGTTTCTTTTTTATCCTGTTCCTTTCCGCCCCCCCCGACCCCTGCTTTCAGCGCTGACTGTCTCTACCCCTGTAACGACATTTAACAAATATCATTATAAAAGCCAGTCCAGTCCACAAGCCGACGTCCACACGACCACACTACCCGACAGGGGACCCGCAGGGGTTGGGCGGCGGGCGGGTGGGCCGGCGCAGCTCTGCTCGAGTTTTCCCTGCGGGGCGGCCCGCTCGGAACCGCCCCGGCCCGCGGCGCGGGAGGGCTCCGGCGACCGCGGGAGCCGCCGGCGCCGGCCAGGGCGACGGCGGGAGGTTTTCGTCGGCGCCCGAGAGGGAAGGCGGGCGGGCATCCCCGCATGAGGCCCCGGCCCCCCGCGCCCCTGTCCGCGGGGCGGCGCCGACGGGACGCGGGGGTGGAGTGCGCCCGGCGGGCCCGGGGCACCCGGCGGGGCTTGGAGCTGGAGCCCCGAGGTCGGAGTCCGGGGCCGCTGGCGGCAGCATTGGAGCAAGGGCGGCCGCCGCCGAGCCTTCGCAGCTATATGCCCCAACAGGGTCCAGAGTGCCCACCCGCCCGCCACTCATAAGAACCGGCCCCGCTCGGAGGGGGGGACGGCGTGGACGCCCCCCGGCTGCCCCGATCCCCCGAGCGCCCCCGCCCCGTCAGCGACCGCAAGCGTTGCCCCGCCGGTCCCGTCGCACCCGCCCTCGGTGAGTCTGCGGCGGACAGCCCTGAGCCCCAGCCGTGAACCCCTCCCACGTGCCCCTCCCACCGCGCAACCTTGGTGCCTCTCAACCGTGCTGCGTCCCTGCAGCCCCGTCAGTGGACACATCGCTGTGTCTACTCCGGACTACTACGAGACGGAGAGGCACCGCTGATCAGGCGGACCTCTGCTAGAATAGCTGTTGAGCAAGATGACACGTTTATTCTAATAGACAGCATTGAGCTCGTTCAGAGCGCTCTTTTCTCAACTTTGATTGCCCTGATCATTAATGTAGCATTGCGTCCCTCCACCTGCCCTTCACCCGTGTCCTTTCCTGCCACGTCCCTCATCCATGACCGCCGCTGTATTCCCCCCTGGTGCATCCCAGCACGTTCCCCAGCCCTGCATCCCCTAGCCGTACCCATCGAGGATGGCCCCCAGCATGGGCTCATCACTCTGCCATGCCCCCCTGGCTGCGCCTGCACTACTTACTTCTGTCTCTGACTGTCCCCAGTGCTCAGCACCATCGACTGGCAGGATTTGGCAGCCTGTACCCCCATCCTTCCCACCACCCCAGCTGGCCCAGTGACCCTGCAGCAGGTAAACCCCACTGTTTGAGGCAGGCTTGGCCTCACCTGGCACCTTGAGGGGTGGCCCCTTCAACCCAATGGGTGCTGGCAGCTTCCCTGACCTCAGGTTTCCCACCTGTGGAATGGGCACAGAGGAGGACAGCACCTTGTTCCATGTGTTAGGTGGGTTATTGGCAAGGGCAAAGCAGGAGATGGTGCCAGCACTGAGGGAAAATGCTGAACACAGGCAGCTGCTGAAACAGTATGGGCAGCAGTGGGCGGCATGGGCAGGTCTGAGCCCTGGGCCCTGCTGACTGGATCATTTCCTTCACCCATCCTAGAGTCCCTGCTTCCAGGACGGGACGGAGTTTGATTTCCAGGAGTTCAGAGATGTTGTGGATGATTTTGTACCTGGCAAGTAGATATTTTTCTTTACCTGAACCAAATGTACCTTTGTGTGCACATCTGTAGTCACGCTACATTCCCTCTCCTCTTTTTCTGCTTTCGTTTTGGAATTTTGGGTGCCGACTCACTGCATGTTTGTTCCACCATGGCACAGTCTGTAAGGCAGTGCATTCCTGCTCATCCCCTTGGAGGGATCTGGGCTGTCATTGGGCTTTCTCCCATGCGAGACAAATCCAAATAGCTGTAGGGGCATAGCTGTCACAGTAGAGTAAAAGCATTTCAAGACAGTTGCGACCCGCCTCAGAAAAGGGAGGGTAGCCCAAGTTCTTATTAATAAATCCCTTGGGGTAGATTAGAGTGAAATGCCACTGAATAATCAGCATATGTGTAGGGTTTATTTTGGAACAATTTCGTTTTAAAAGGTAAACAGGTATGTTGCCATTTGGGGTGTTACCATTCTGTAGCAATACAGCAATATTAAAGCATCTATAGCAATAAAGCAACATTAGAGCATAGCAATATGACACTATTAAAACATAGCAATATTAAATCATAGCAATATAGCACTATTATGAAAACATAGCAATATTAAGGAATCTACAGCAATATCATCTATAGCTATATAGTAATCCTTAGAGCATAAGAATAACACTTAAGGAAATGCATAAGGAAGAGAAAGGAAAAGAAAGGATAAAGGTGGAAATATATATATATATAGTCATGGCCCATGGGATCCAGCAATGAAACTTGGTAGTTGCAGCTTCCATATCTGTTAGTTGAAGTGATGGTCTCGATCCGTTGGGGCTGGGGGAAGCTTCCCACCAAACTTGAAAATGTTATGAGTTACGCATTTCCAGCTCAGGTCAGACCACCTTGTACCTTCCCCCCTTTCAGGACTTGCCTCTTCCTAGCCTCTTCTCTTCCTCAGGCAGGCATCTGCACTCAGGATAGCTGGACAATGGCATCACTTTTGCAGTATTCAGAGGTGGGGGGTTGGATCTTTGCTGGGTGAGAAGCTGCTTCTTTTGCTTCAGTTTGCAAAGGTCTTTTAGTGATCTTAGAATCAACTGTTTCAGTCTCTGACAAGGACATACCGGAGAGATGTTTAGAAGAAGAATGGTGTGCTGGGGTTGGTGGGAACTGAGGACATGAACGTGTTCTGCGTCTTAATAACTGTGGCTGTTCCCTCCAGATGCACCCACCTTAATGCCACCACCACTGGACTGCACTGACTTTAATTTCCCTCTTGGTGAGGAGGTGGCCTTTGGGCCCTGCACCCTGCAGCTGGAGAGCAGCATGCCGGCACAGGTGCCCCCACAGTGCCTGCCTTCCCCTGAGCTGAGCTGGAGGGACCAGGCAGACCAGCACCAGAAAGCACTGGGAGATGCCATGGAGGCAAACAGCCAGGTAGGGATACCCAAGCCCTCCCTGGCTTGCACTGCTTTTCTCTCCATTGCATCCTGCTGAGGCAACTGCATGGCCCTGGTGTGCAGCAACCCCTGGCACCTGGGCAGTGGAGCTGTCCCAACCACCCCATCCACATTTGTCCTTCACAGCTGCAGGAGACTCTCATACAGAGGCAGGAGGAGCTGGCAACACTGCGGGAGAGGAACGTGCAGCTGAAGGAACTGGCAAGTCAGGCCAGGCAGCTGGCCTCTGTCCTTGACGTGAGTGCCACCCTCTCATCTGGTCTAGGTGCCCCAGTGGTCCCTGTGGGACAGTGCCGTGTCAGGGTGCAGTGGGGGACAGGATGTGGGGTGAGGCAGCACAGGCTGAGAGAGAGCCAGCATGGGAGGAGGTGTGGGATGGGATAGAATCATAGAATCAGCTGGGTTGGAAGGGACCTCTTAGATCATCAAGTCCAACCCTTGATCCAACACCACCGCAGTTACTAGACCATGGCACTAAGTGCCACATCAAGTCTCATCTTAAAAACCTCCAGGGACAGAGAATCCACCACTCCCCTGGGCAGCCCATTCCAGTGCCTGATTACCCTCTCTGTAAAGAATTTCTTCCTAATATCCAACCTAACCTTCCCTGACAGACCTTAAGCCCTCTTGTCTTACTAATAGCTGCCTGGGAGAAGAGACCAACCCCCACCTGGCTACAACCTCCTTTCAGGGAGTTCTAGAGAGGGATGAGGTCTCCCCTGAGCCTCCTCTTCTCCAGGCTGAACAACCCCAGCTCCCTCAGCGTCTCCTCACAGGACCTGTGCTCCAGTCCCTTCACCAGCCTTGTTGCTCTTCTCTGGACCTGCTCCAGCACCTCAATATCCTTCCTGAACTGAGGGGCCCAGAACTGGACACAGTACTCCAGGTGTGGCCTCACCAGTGCTGAGTACAGGGGCAGA